TTAAATGAGCATTGAATATTGAGTTCCTATTGTAATCTTTGGTAGGTTGGGTTTTTTTAAGGAAAAATAAAAGTCATTCCTTAGGTTTTAAAATTAGTACATGACAGAAATTTTATATAAATTACCACTAGAAAAAAATCCCTTAAGTTTTTTGTAGTGCACATTATATGTGACCCACTGGCAATCATCATAGTGTTGTTTAATAAATCCAAAGAGGCAGCTTATCCTTCATCGTTAGAGCAGATTGTTCTCTATATTCGGTTGACATATAAAGGTGTTGGTTTATGTTTAGGGGCAATGTTGTCCGAAAAATATGAATCCAAACCATAACTCAAACTCCGTGAAGCAAGATGTTTATGCTATGTGGAAACAGAGGCCAGCCCAAAGATGAGCAGATTCCTCTCACAGCCTAGGCTTCCTCTATCAATGTGCTCATTGAGTGGGGGGATGAGCGGAATTGTTTGCACAATTAAATTATTTATATTTTCATGAAGCACATGTAGTTAAAGATGTATATTGTGCAACTCTAACAGTAAGAAAATTATGCGGTTCAGGGAAAAGGAAAAATTGATAATTTTTCTACATTTACATGAGGATGATCCCCCCAGGTTTGTTTTAGTGTCTACCAAACATTTTCTAAGTTGGGTCAGCAGACTATGACCTGCCTCCTGATTTTGTACTGCCCATAGACTAAGAATAATTTATACATTTCTAAATGGTTGGAGGAAAAAAAAGAATAATATTTTGTAACATGAAAATTACATGAAATTCAAATTTGTGTCTATAAATAAAGTTTCATTGGAACACAGCCACACTTATTCATTTACAGATTATCTGTGGTTGCTTTCATGCTAGAATGACAGAGTTGAGTAATTTCAACAGAGACCATGTAGCCTACAAAGCCTAAAAGATACCATCTGGCCTCTTACAGAAAACATTCGCCGACACCTAGAAAGAAAACTAAACCCCCTAGAAAGGAACCTCAAAACAGGAGAAGGGACTAAGGGTAAGATTTTCTTTTGTTTGTTTATTATTTTATGTCCAAAATGCCAGAGTATATTCATTATGATCTAGGACGTTTATGCTATCAAGAGTGGAGTCATAACTTAGGCCTGGGGATATCAGCACCCTAGTACTCTGCTTGTGGGAATGTGAATTGCTGTAACCTCTAAAGCATAGTTTGGTATGTTAACGTATAATACTACATCCCAGTTTGGCCAGGGAAGTCCCGAATTATGTCCCCTTTTCCCCTCAGAAGTGAACTGGTTTTGATGATAAATTATACGGTTATCCTAATTATGTTTTAAAATGTGTGCCATTTGACCCAATAAATTTCGCTTCTAGGAGTTGAGTCTAAAGAGGTAATTAGAGCTGTCCACAAGATTTTTGTGTAAGCTTGTTTGTAATAGTTAAATGTTGAAATAAGCTCAATATCCAGCAACAAGGAGTTGGTTGATTAAATTCATGTATTCGTTCAATAAATGGTTATTGAGCACTCTTTGTAAGAAGCATTATTCTTCGACTACACAAAGTACCTGCCTTTGTAGCGCTTATATCTTACTGGGTATGACACGACATAAACGTGCAGTGGAACACTGTAAGCCAGTAAGTCATATTTTGGAAGAATGGTAGATAAGAAAATGCACAACATTAAAGGAAAAAATCCAAATATGAAACTGCATAATAACCTAATATTGTATAGAATGTTTACATTTTTTTTGAAAACTGGAAGGATATGTATACCACAATGAGAATAATGATGCAAATCTAGGAACATCAACATTGTTCAACAAAAAGGGCTTTCGTGATGAACTTATTTTATGTAGTAAAATACTATATAGCCACTATCAATCATATTTTGGATATATATTTAATACTTGAAGGAAATGCTCAATATGTTAACTGAGAAAAACTGCTTAAAAACAGCATGCACAGCATTTTACCAATGTTTTTGTATGCACAGTGTATTCGTGCACAGAAAAGGCTGGAGAGTTATAATCTGCTATCTTCCACATTTTCTACAGCGAATATAAATTGCTCTCTTGAAAAAGGTCTTTGTGATGTTTTTGAAAGGGGGCAAGTCAGGCACACGCTAAGCTCAGCAGCAGTTTGTAAAGTGTCTACTCACCTCTCTAAATGTGCGCCCTCATCAGTTCCAGTCCAGAGTCTTGCTTATTATTTCAATAGAGCCTTTTGCCTTCTTTCAGCACCCTGCATGGGGATTTTCCTAGAAGGACCCCACGCCCTCAGTGAGACACGGATGGACTGCTAACAGCAGAGACTCAGCAGGACTTGGCTTGCCATGTTCTAGTTCTCCCAGTTCCTTTTTCACTAAGACAAGCTGGTCTTATCCCTTTTCTCTTTTCCCTTAGTCTAAAAGGTTGGTTTATTACAGGAGGGGAAAAAAAACCCCCAATACCCTAGGTAGATTCGACTAAGGCAAATTAGAATGGTAATGAGGCGGAAAGGAGCTGGGAAATGATTATTGATCTCAGTATGACTAGGGCTGGAGGAGCTGGGCAGGAAAGACACCTTGCCTGTTTTCTTCTGTTTCAAAGGTTGCAGTGGAAAAAAAGCAATGCAAATGTAGTTTCTTAGCCTGGGTCATAAATTTTTATTGAATTCTTTTTAATCAACTGTCCTATCCAAATTTGAGCCCTCATGGAGATGAGGTTGTTGGCTCTCAATTTGTTTTATTAGTTAAGCAGATTTCTTTATAAGATAAAATGATATTGTGGATGAAAAGTGAAATAGAGTGGTTATCAGGAAAGCTAAATTTTAATAACAGTGCCAATACTTGCCTGTGTGACCTTGAATAAGTCGCTCAGCTAAGCCTCAGTTAAGCTTTTGAAGCCCATTTGCTCATCTGTAAGGAGGTTTGACCAAGTAATCCTGTGTAACCACCAGCCCTACAATACTGTATTTCTAAAATGAGAAATCTCAGAGTTTGGATAAACAGCAAGCAAAGCTACCCCATGGGCAAGATTTTTGGTAAGGAACTTAAGCATTAACCAAAGGAAAGGAAAACAAAACTGAAACCACTCAAGAAAACAATACGAATAGCCAGTAAACATGTGAAAAGATGCTGATCTCACTAGTAGTTAGAGAAATGCAAATTAAAGCAATGAGATGTAAATTTGTACTCTTGAATTTGGCAAAATTAAAGAGATTATAATCGACTCCTCTCACTCACACCCTACTTGTAATCTCACAGTAAATATTGGCACTACCTTCAAAGTAGCCACACTTCTCTTCTAAACACTTCTCTTCACCTCACTCACTGTTACTGCCCTGGCCCAAGCCGCTATTAGTCATCTCTCAACCAGATTATTGCAACAGACTCCTGACTCCTTCCATGCTGTCCCCACCCCTTACCCCATAGTTTATTCTTAACATAGCCAGAGTGAGGCTGTGGACACCTAAGGCAGATCCTGTCACTCTTGTGCTCAAACCTTTAATGTCACTCTTCACCAAGTTAAAGCCAAAGTCCTTTCAGTTAGCTACAAATTCCAACCCAGTCTGACCCCCTTTCCACTTGGTCATCTTATTGTGGAGAAGATCCAAAATCAGACCAGTGAGAAACGAAGCAGCACCCGGAGAGTTGGAGAACTCAGTTTATTACGCCGGCAGTCCCTGAGGAGCCAGTGCTCTGAAGATCTGGGCCAAGGGTTCAGTTGCAACATTCTTTTAGAGACCCTTTTAGGCATGGCCTGATTGGGTAATTTGAACACAGGCTGCTACAAAGTGGTGGGAGTTGGTGTGGTTGCAGGTAGTTACATTGCCTTACAAGGGCAGGCGTTGCTATGGCCTACCAGCAGTTACAAAGCGAGGGAGTTGCTAGGGGGTACAAACAATTACAGTTACATTTGTTGCTTAGAACAAGCAAAGGGAAGGTGAGTCTTTAGTCAGTTTTGAGTACAGCCCAGCCCATGCAGCAAGCATATTTACAGAAGCAGAATAGGGAGCTGGTTAGCCTTTTGAATGAAAATTCCTCATCAATCCCCCCTTTTGATGCCCATTTAAATTCTTATCAGGCATAATTCTCTTGATCTCCCTCTTGATCTCCTTGGGCCAGGGGCTGGTAATTCCACAGCATAAGGATCTTTGCGGCAGTCTTTCTACTATAGCCTCTGTGAGGGAGGTAATCAACCCAACAACAAGAGACAACAGACAAGGCAGAAGAAGACGGGCCCCGAGGAGGAGGAGTACTATCCCAATTAAGATTTTAAAGCCTCGGAAGGTAGAGAACCATTCCCCCAAAAGGCTGTTGGGGTTCCATCCATGCCATACTTGCACGGGCACAGTGCCAGTTTTGTCCTTATTCCAACAAGATTCTCAGCTGCCTG